GTATATTAAAAAATATATAATATATATACAAGGTATCCTGAGAGTTTCTTCCAATCGCTTTCGTGTAGATAGAGTGGACTAAACTGAGTCAAAAAGTCCTGTGTCATTTCGCAATGGTTAACGAGATATTAATTTTTAAAGATAGCCGAATATTGATCTTTAATAATTTTATTCTCAAATACTATCAACTTTACAAAGATTTTCCATAATTTTAATATTAAATTGCGCATAATTCATTAATGTTATTGTGCTAATGTCCTTAGACAATTCAAATTTGCCTCTTAGTGATGACGCTGTCAAGCTGCAATTTTCATTGGCTGGATTTTTTTGGGATGCGCAAGAGAATACCCTTGTATTTCTACCATGCTTTAGACGTAATCTGGCCGTATTGCCTCCGCTCACTCTATGGAGGCAGGAGCCATTAATTAATAAGAAGAAGAAGATCGTTGTAGACGGATTCTCGAAATTTGTCTGGATATAACCCACAAAGACGACGAACGTGAAGGAAGTACTAGACCGATTGAAAAGTCAACAAAGAATTTTCGGCAACCCACAGCGAATAATTAGCGACCGTGGATCAGCATTTACGTCGACCGATTTCAGAAGTTACTGTTATGAAGAGAACATCAAGCACATACTAATCACCACGGATGTGCCGAGGGAAAACGGTCAAGTCAAATGTATTAATTGAATTATTATCCCAGTTCTCACTAAACTATCATCTGATTGTCCTGATAAATAATATCGACATGTAGATAAAGTGCAAGGTGCGATAAACAGTACTCATCAGCGGAGCGTGGGAGTCCTTTTGAGATATTTTTTGGAGTGAAGATGCGTCAGAAGGAGAATACTGAACTGTTGACGTTGATTGAACAGGAAAACATCGCTCTGTTCAATGAGGAACGTGAAAGGCTAAGAATAGCAGCAAGAGATCATATTGCCAGAATCCAACAGAAGAACAAAAAGATTTACGATCAGAAATGTAGTCCAGCTACGCAGTATCGCATATAGGCGATTTAGTTGCCCTTAAACGATCTCAATTTAGTCCTGGCTCAAAATTGAGATGCACATATTTGACCTCATAAAATTTCTTAAATAAAGGGAAGCGATCACTACGAAATGATTCGAGAAGACGACGGCAAAGGACCTAAGATCACCACATCCTCAGCAGATCAGATTAAATTTTATTCGTACTATTTTCCGGGGACCGGAGATCATCAGGAATGGCCGAATGTGGGATCGGAGCTCAAATCCAGTGTAAACGGCGCTGGTGGCGAAGCGGAAGAAGAAGAAGGAAAGAATCGCGGGCAATATGGCAACGGCGGCCAGTAGAGACGTATGTGTCGTGTAGTGAATAAAACCGCGATTGTTAATCTCAAGAGTTGAACGTGTTTATTCCAGATCGTTTTATTCTTTGACTTTTCTCAGACCCGATCCTACATAAATATGGTAGATGTTATGGTAGATGTAAAGTTGAAACGAACAGCTCAATTCCTTCAACACTAAAATAGATCGAGTTACGGATTAATTTCTCTTGATGTGACGTCTCTTTACTAACATTCCGGTTGCTTTGGTCATTTCGGTTCTTGACAAGAGATATAATTACATATCGATTAATTGTAAGATATCCAAGAAAGATTTCTTAAACACAGTAAAAATGGTTTCAACCTTTTTTGCTTTTGATGGTCTATAGACAAAATTTGGGTACTTTCGTGGGGTCATTACCACTAGTTGTAGCTGACTTAGGTTGCTTTCCATCTACGACACAGCAATCACCTCATCTTTATTTAACATTAGCGAACGACGAGGATGCAACGATTGCCGTGTCACACCGTGTCACTTCTGTGTCTCTTGTTGGATAATAATCTTATGCGTAGATATTATTTTTTACATTAAAATAATCCAGATGACTTATGAACGTACTTCTTATATCGTACATATATTTAAAATGTAAATATTCTAAAGCGCCAACCGAAAATTAGCAACCATAACCAAGAGTGTCCGACTATGCTTTTCTGCTGTGTCGAATCGTGTCGTGGCGTGTCGTTGTTGGAAAGCACCGCGTTCGACACTGTGTCGATGTGTGTCGTCTAAAAGCCTTGATGGAAAGCAGTCTAAGCTGCTGTGTCGAATCGTGCCGAGGCGTGTCGTTGTTGGAAAGCACCGCGTTCGACACTGTGTCGATGTGTGTCGCCTAAAAGCCTTGATCGAAAGCAGCCTTAGTTATGCAACATCTAGAGAATTGGGTGTTGAGAAAATTAAAATTTTCAATTACATTTTATTACAGGTACATGCCCTATACAGCAACGTTTTTGCGCAGAAGAGTGGGATTAGAGAAATAACTTAACGGCTTGAGGTATTGTTTATTTACCGCGCGCAAAAGCGTTAAGGTGTAGGGCACATTACGTGCACGCGTGAAGAAAAATTCTATGTGTAACTCATATGCTTAGTTGTTTATTGTGCGGCACGGGCGCGGGTTTATTGTGCTCCCACGCCCACGTCGCACAATAAACAACTTATCATACATGTTACACAATGTACTATTAAATATATTTTCTAACATCATTTTGTTATTAATATTATTTGTTATTAATATTATTGTTATTAATATTTAAATAACATAATTTCGTTACCAACAAGCATGGTAACTTCTTTGGCCGAGAATCGTGCTTCCTATCGGAATTTAGTGTTAATGTTCTGCTTAGGATGGCTAAAATGTATAGTTGAAACTATATATCCGGAAATATTTAATGTCAATGTAATCACGCATCTTATGCTTTATTAAATATTTTTTATAAATTTTGCGCACTTCTTACCGCGCTGACTCCTTAGCCGAATTAAATTTTCTTCATTTTATTGAAATTATAAGAAATCCATTATTAATTATTGTATTGTATGTAAATATTTTCTTGATATAATATTTTAATTGGAATTAAAAGTCTATTTTATCGACACCGATTAAGTTCGGCTGTCTCTGCAGCATCGCCTTAATATAAATAGAAAGAATGTAATGCTATTGTAATATAATTAATTATATACTTATGCAATCTTGTCACAAAAATATCCGTAAGTGTATAAAATACGAAATATATATATATATATTTACTTTTTGATAGCATAACATATATACCTAATTTAGATAAGTATGCATATCTTATGGTTGCTATACATTGTACCAAAGTTCAATGATATAAAAGATGACGGGGTTTACAATTTAATATATACAAAGAACGGCAAAGTATAGAACACTCCAATGCTTGTTGTATTCTATAGCCGTTAAGAAAATAATCATATTAAAAGATAATTGTATTCACGCACACAATATCTTATATTTGCAAATCGTGTTACGATTATCAGAGAAAAACAAAGTTTATCATCATTGATTACGAGGAATTCTTGTTCGATACAAATGAAAAAAAAAATCTGGTAAATGGGTAAATATATGGAAAAAAATATTGAAGAGATAATTTTATGAGTCAAATTTTGTTAAAACACAACTACTAATGCATGTTAACAAAATTTAAAAAATGTATTGTTAACAATTAAAAAAAGAGACAATACAGAGAAAGTAGTTTTTCTTAACTTAGTGTCAGCTTTAAATTAATATCAATTATGAGTGCGCAAAACGAAATATCTTACATTGATCTTTAGAGAACAAATTCTCTTCTATATAATGTCATATCGTAACGATTGTTCCCGCAACGTGTGATCTTGACTTCTCATGAACTTAAAATATATAAACATGCTTACATCGATTGAAAAGAACACTCGATTTGAAGAAGGCATCCAATAAAATTAATTTATAAGAATAAAAAATTTTCTACTCTTTAAAGATAAAAAGATATAGTACAGAATGTTACATGATCTTCGCACGCATTATGTTATTGCGTTGCTAATAAGCAATGTCAGATTGTATTTTTACAAAACTTTGAACGTTTATAGAAAATTCATCTTTCACTAATGTTTTTACAAACGATATTTGCGTAAGAAAAAAGTTACTTATACGTATATTGTCCGTTTGTTTAATCTACGCTTCTTAGTTAATTACCTAAATACAAATATTAAATCTATTAAGACAATATGAATTAACATTCGTGGAAGCATCCTGAATCACTGAATGACAGTCGTAGGTTCGAATCCTCTATTAGTGTAGTGTTTAGTCTCGATACAATAATGGCTATGGTCGAAAATATAAAATACTGTTTAAGTCCCCTTATGTGTCATTTTATTTTTATTGTTCACTAAATATTGATTAAACAAGAATAAAATGATACACGGAATCATTTGAGTGACGTTTCCGAATGAATTTCATCTAACTCCAAATTTCGTTTGCTTATGTAGAAAATTCAAATTAAGATGTATGTCGAATGAACACATTTAAAATCGAAAACGCGACAAGAACACAGACCAAGATCTATTGTCAGCGGTTACGAATAAAGCGAATTTTTCATTTCGCCGTCTGACTTTGTCTCATTCATCTCGCTATTTCCAAGTTTGATAAAAAAAGACGATAAATACTTATCGCTCTTAACGAAAAATCGCGACGGTGCGATTAAGAAAACGCCATCTCTTTATCCCAATACATGTTTCAGTTTGGACTAGGTTCAATCATCGTAGCGAATCTACGACTTTGACATTATACACGCCGGGATAATGAGAGGAAAATATATATATTCGATAATTAAGAGCCAGTAGAGAATTCGCAATTTGTTCTCAAACATAACTCTCATCGTCGACAATGGATCTGCCGAATCCTAGATGCCTCGTTGTGATAGGAGCGCGAGGTTGCGGTGGTGGTCGGTAGGGTGGCGGCGGTGGTAGAGATCTAGATCTACCCGTCACTTTATGCCTGTCCTCAAGGTTCATATGCACCGGCGGCAGGTGTCTGAGCCTTGGTGGCAATGGCGGCGGTGTGTCTGGCCATAATGTAGTTCTTTCCTCCTGTTCATCTTCGCTAAGATCGATCACACTTTTGTAGGAATTGTTCACATCCGTGGTTCCATAGACCTCAGTCGATCGACTCATCTCATCACAATATGTAATTTTACCGTTAGATTCACCATTTTCTTTACTTTTGCAGTATTTAAGCGCTTCCATGTATATTGCCTTTACCCTAACAAAGTCATCGTATAATTCACGATCGCGAGCTTGACGACGACGCTCTTTCTCCGACATCGGTGACTCTAGACTCACGTATTGAACTTCGGAGGATTTGACCTTCTTAAACTCATAACAATCGCTACCAGAGCGAGGCGTATCGCCACCACCCGTTAGATCCTGCTCCGAGTCGTGAATGGACACCCGTTCAGCGCTTCGGATGTCCTGCTGCAAGCTTTTATTATTGTAATCCTCTGTTAATATATCATAGCTTACATTCAACTGTCTTCGATAAGTCTTGCAGTTCTCCACATTTTCTTTCATCGTATCCTGTCTAAGATAATCCCTATCATATGTGTCCTTGTCACTAAATCTCTCTTTTCTGTGCTCGTGTTCGTCTAATTTGTTCGTTCTGGGTGTTCTTTTGAGCTGTGCTCGCAACCAATCTTGCCGTTGGAAATTGGATGATTGAGACGGATTGGGATAACACCCGTTGGTCTTTTCCTCTCTGAAGTTGTGCTCCGTGTTATTCATATGATTATGATTGCTGGATCCGTAACTATTTAACCTATCCTCCCACCCGCATCTATAAACTGACATGTAAGTTTTATTATTAGACATTTCCTCTTTCGCAAAAGATTTATCGTAATTGGTAGACGATGAGGCATTTGGGGCAGAATCTTCTGAGCCTACGGGCGATTCCGGAATAAATAATTGGCAATCTGATAAGGTCAAGCCTGAATCTCTTGACAAAGACATAGGATCTCTTTGCGGTGCTTCTGTTAGCTCCAAACTATCCAAGGATATTCCACCTGCTGCGCCATAAGAAATTTATTAATAATGGATAACATACCTAATTATTAAAATATTTTAATCAATCAATGAATACCAATAAGAATATGCCGTAACGGTTAAGCTAGATCTCGGGTGCTTCTATACATATAATTGTGTGTGAATTTATATACTACGTTTATAGATTTTTAATTATGTGCCGAATTTTTTTTCAGACTTGAAACACAACACTATTAAACTACACTACTATAAACTGTACTAATTTTAATCAATATTTGGTAAACCTTCGGAAAGACTACTTCCCTCGAAAAAAAATCGTAACTATGTGTTTCCGATGTATTTTTGCCTCCTGATTACGAATATGATAATAAAATTTGGCGGTCGGACACATTGAAGCCGCTATCTTGAAAAAACTGTCAAAAAACATGATTTTTTCTAGTTTTTTGCATTTATTTCAAAAAATACGCATCAGACAAGAAAATGTTTCAAACAAAAAGTAAAGAACATAAAATTATGTACAAAAAAGGTTCTATGCATTTTCTTCGTAATATCAATGGTAAGCTCGTAAATGAAGAGCGAACATAAGTATAAACGTTGAACTTTCCACGGGAAATAACTTTCACTCCCCCCTCCTCCCTCCGCACAAAAGCACACGACCTCTACGATTGTACTGTTGCTATGATAGTACTGTCGGGGCAGACCTCTGACGACGGTGTGGGTGCGGGGGGGTGGCCGGAGGCCGAAGGCCGAAGGCCGCCCCCTTGCACCCGCCCGTGTGTGTGTGTGTGTGTGTGTG